TGCCTTGGCTGCGGAGGTCCCGCACCGCTGCCGGCACCGGGGCGGGCGGGGTGCGGTCGGCTGTTTCTTCCAGGAAGATGCCTCCCCTGCCTTCGGTCCGAATTGCCCGCCATTCCGGTGATGCCGTCCTGCAATGGGCATCGTCATTCCGGGCTGCTCTTGGCTGCGGAGGTCCCGCACCGCTGCCGGCACCGGGGCGGGCGGGGTGCGGTCGGCTGGGCTTTCCAGGAAGATGCCTCCCCTGCCTTCGGTCCGAATTGCCCGCCATTCCGGTGATGCCGTCCTGCAATGGGCATCGTCATTTGTCCGGGCTGCATAGTAATCCGCTGGTGAACGCTCCTCCACGGATTTGGCCTCCTCTCTTATTCCTGTTCACAGAAACATGCCGCCACGCGCTGTCCATGTCATAGGCTTCACGTTCAGTGGAGGCAGCCGGCTTTAATCATTAGTCCCAGAGGCCGCCGGTTCAGCGCCCCAAGCAGAAGAGCAAGTGTAAGAGAGCCGGCACCTCAATCCTCACCCGCCCCTGAGCAAGACCTGGGACGCTACCTACATGCTGGTGGAAGAGCCATTCACACATATCTCATAGCCTCTGTTATTTTATGGCATGGACGGACTTCTCCGTGGAGATTGTCTGGGTACCTGCTTCTGGAGTCCAGAAAACACCCTTGCCATATCAGTCAATACATTTCCACGAGGCCATTTTTAAGTAGAAAACACTCCCTTTACAGAAGAAGCTTACATTTGCTAACGTCCAATATTCACATCGCTTCCACTTTTCACTCTTCTAACACATCACTGTGAGGCACATCCTTCTTAATAAAAATGGTTCATATCCTCAATCGTGTCCTTGTTATGAATAAATTCCCAGAAAAGGAAATTCTTGATACAGGCCATGCACTCTTGAAGTCCTTTCCTCAGAATATTAGCAAGATGTTCTCCCGGAAGTCACTGTCAGAGCGATTGTTCCCGAATGCAATGGCATGCTTACCGGACCGGATGAGCAACGGGAGTGCAACACAATGCAAGATAGACTGGGATGGTATTGGGAGCGTTGAATAATAAGCAATGGGGATGGATTTGGAATGAAATGCAGAAAGCCAGCATACGGACTCTGCCTGCAGTGGACACAGGAATGAAAGTGGGCATGGAATATGGCTTTGAACCGGATGTGGAATGGAAAATTGAGTGGGATGGAAATGGAATGGAATAATGGGATGGAAAGGGGAGTGCAAATAAATATCCACTGGCAGGTGGAAAAAAAATTTACGTGCTGTTTTGAGAAAAGGAATGGAATGGAATGGAATGTACAGTGAAGTAAAATAGTAAAGAAAATAAGAGAAAATCAAAATTAAGTAGGAAGGAGTCAGAAAGAATCAAAATATGCAATGTCATGAAATCAATGGACTATGAAACTTGCAGTACAGACAAAAACATTGTAAAGGAGTAGAAATGAATGGAATGAAATTTAGAATGAAATATAGAATACACTGTGATGAGGATGGAATAGACAATGAATAAAGATGAAATGGACTGGAATATGGAAAACAAAAATACTGATGAAATAGGAGGTGTCCTTGAATGACGAATGAATGAATGGAATGGGTTCTGGCCATCTACCACTCTGTCACTTAGTGTCATGGTACAATGACCACTGCATCATGCTCAGGCACTCTGTAGAGCTGGAATTCAGACAGGGAAGAGTGCAGATGGCTTGTGTCTGCTCCACAATGTCCTTGTCTGAGGCTTCAGAAGGGAGCACTTGATTGGCTGTGAGGTCATGAGGGAAGGAAAGCAATCAATCACTGATGACACTTAGTAGGCTTTGTCCACAATATCTGGGTGGACGGTGGTGCCACTTCCTGGAATTGGCAAGACTTGCAGCCTGGGGACACAGAGCAGATCGGTGATGCTCGTGGACAAAAAGAAATTCTGGAAGAGCAAGTTTTGATTGCCTCAGCCTTTCTATCCTGAATGTTTTCAATGAGTATGGCTTACTCTTACATTCAGAAAAATGCAGCTATTTACTTTTTAGAAAGCAACTAATTTTTATTGTTTAATAATGATTTAACTTGTCACGAGAATAAAGGCTCTCTCATATACTACAGGATGGGGTTATGCATGCATATCACCTGGCCAGGTGGAGATTCGACAGGACATATAAGAAGTCATAAACAGGAAATCCATTTGATGCTGCAATTCCTCATGTAGGCATTGAGTCTCAAGAAAGAAATATTATGTAATATAATAATAATGTATAAATTATGTATAATAATCAAAAGTGATTTGCTGTCCTTCACTTTTAAAATTTTGAAACGACCCAAATTTCCAGCAGGATACTGAATGTCTTTAGAATAAACTTATGCAAATTTTATAGGATATTATTGAATAACGTTTAATGCTGTTGGAAAATGACTATGTTATGCAAGCAAAAAATTACTTACTGAATATACGGATGTGTATTTACACCCATCCATCTTTATATACACCTAGCATTCTATGAGTATTGGAATTTCATACACTGTATAGCAAGAATGTTCAGCCAGGGGCATTTTGCCCTCCAGGGGACACTTGGCAATGTCTGCAGACATTCTTCTTTGTCGAAACTGGGGAAAGGGAAGGTACTACTGGTATCGGGTAGATCAAAGCTAGGAATGCTGCCTAAACTCCCTGAATGCGCAAGGCAGCCTCTCACAACAAGAAGTTATCTGGTCCAAAATGCCAGTAGTGTCCAGGTTGGCCAACCCTGGGGCAGGGCATTGAGACGATTTGGAAAAGTTTAAAACAGAATTTAAGTCGCAGGCAATCCTGCCAGTGATCAATAGCTATTGTTGACAGTTTGATATGTCTATGTGTTCAC